AATGCCCAAGAACATGGACTTGTGTCGCAGCCGTGGAGCTATGACTGCATGCTTGCGATTCGCGTCGTCGCGCGCTCTGGTACAACGCTGGCCTGTATCTGAGCTGAGTTAGCTAGAGTCGCAAAGTCTGATGCGAAAGCGGAAGCTCCAAAGTTGGAATCAGAGGGTGGTGCATGTTCAAAGCTCATCTAAGATCGCAAGAACTATTTCAAGGTATCAATCATGAAATGGGGGAGGATAGAGGGGTGTGCGTGAACGTACCGTGAGCGCGGATGTGAAGTAAGGAAAGAAAGTTGAACCGGACGCGCAAGAAAATTGAACTTGAGGGTCCCGAAATCTTGGCAGATCTGCGCTTAGTCATCCACTTTTCTGAACACCATGAAATCATCTGCAAGTACCAACGCTGCAGCACAACATAACCACAGAAACGATGAACACGGACAGGAGAAGAAATAATGCGCCTAGCGGTGGCACCAGTGCGCCAGTGTTTGCGCGTACAATCAGAGAACCGCAGTACCTGGAAAAGTTGAGGCCGACAAGGTCAAGAGGCGCGAATGAGCTTCGCAGGATCTGTAAGTGCCCGAATGACCCCATGCGACTTCCTACGCGCGGATGTGGAGCTCACCTGGATCGATGTGGGTTCCAGTAGCTGTCAGCGAGCTGCATGTCGTCTGCAATGCGTACCCTACACATGTTCTGCTTCTAACACGTCCACAGTCCTCCAAACATCCATCATACCCTCAGCGTCGGGCTCCGCGTACCTCGAAATACCCTCCTCCTCCCCCGCGATCAAGTCGACCCTCATTCCGCCGACTTCATCTCTCAAGATCACGGCTTCTATACAAGGTCCCAAGCCTCTTCCCCGTAGCGCGCCCTTCAGTCCTTCGCTCCTCCTTACAACCACGGTTAAGTTTGCGCCGTTCGCAACACGACAACGGCGAGGCTACATACGCGATTCAGCAGAGCGCGACCTTGGAGTTCATCTAGAGACTGCGCTACGAGGTGTCATCATCGGAGAGAGATGGCCCAAGAGTGGGGTCGAAGTTGTAGTCACCATACTGGAAGGAGATGAAGATGGCTGGTGGGGAGACTCTGCTAGTGGGGGCAGCGCAGCCGGGAGTGGATGGGGTCTCTTGAACGTGCTAGCAGGCTGCATCACGGTCGCCAGCGCTGCCATAACGGACGCCGGGATAGACTGCGTCGATGTGGTGTGTGGAGGTGTCGCCGCAATCACACGAAACCCCGAGTCAAGACAAGAGCAGGAGCTGGCTAGGATACTTGATCCCTGTCCAGCAGAACATAAGGAGGTTGTTGCTGCCTGTGTAGTCGGATACCTGGCTTCAAGAGACGAGATCACAGAGATATGGATGAAGGGGGACGTCGGCTCAGATCCAGATGCTTTGATCGAGGGAGCCACGCATGCCGCGGTCGGCAGTCTCGCGGTGGTCAAAGAGGTCCTGCTCGAAGCGCTACAAGCCAAGTTTCGGGGTCAGATCGAGGCGAGCGAGAGCGGTATGAAAAGGAAGGCACAAGACGTGGACATGACAGGATGAGGCAGCGTGCCATAAAGCTTGTTACACTGTTTTCAGTTCGCAGCTTTGCACACACCAGGTAGCCAAACTTCAGGCTGGCGCCTCAACCGCCGACGCAAGATCGTTGCCGATAACGTCGACCCTCGCCTGGTGGGTAAGCGTCGGAACGATCTACAAATTGTGGCCTTGTTCGTATGGCGTTCTCAAAATGCATAGCTTCGGCGTTCAAAACCGCCTGAGTAGGATAAGCTTATGCGTGTGGACCTCAAGGCCTAAACTTCACGGCTAAGAGGGCCCACTTGTATCCACCTGGAGTAGACGTTGAGCCCAAGTGCAGAAACTACCTTAGCCGACGACATGTATAGAATACGATTCTGTCCGCCTGTTTCCGCGGTCGAGCTGGCGCTATCAGTGAAGACGGACGCGATGATACATTGACCTCAACCACAAACAATCTAGCCTGGCAGCGATCTGACAGCAGAGACATGTCCTCAAGTCTCAGGCGCGCCATATCTCCCGCATGTGCAGTAAACATTGCCAAGGTGCATGTCGGAGCTTTGACCGCGATGATTGGTGCGCAATTGCAGGAAGTGGCTGGGGTGCAGCAATCCTTGCCACTTGTTTTGACAATGGCGTCACGATCCTACACCTCCAGCCTCCGACACGGCTCACAGATTGGACATATTCCTGATACTTTGGGAACAAGCTTGGAACGGCAAAGAACAAGCGTGTCGGTAAAGCCAGGACGAGTTCACGGCCCACCCGGAGTACGCTAGAGTCGACACTTTCAGAGCTTTCCGGGCGGGTCGCATTGGCAATGGCAGCGGCGTGGGTCCAGAGGTCATCCCGCTCCTGCTATCTAGAAGTCATCCTTGCCGAGATGGGATGAGGCAGTAAGCACAGCTTCCCAAAGCGCTGTCTTGGGGAGCCACTGCCTGCTTGCGGCTGCCGAGGAGCAGACACATATCTGTGTTCGCTGTGCCACTGTCTCTCTTATCCTCTTTCCCCAGCCAATTTTGTCACTTTTGGTTTTTATCATTCCCAGCGGGCGACATATGCACGCCGTTCGTTTTTCTCGCTCGAATCACAGCACAGTAGCCGGCAAGCAATTCCGTCTTAGCTGCTCCTCCGCGGCCAAGATCCACTGCAACTAGTCTTGGTGCATAACATTGCGATACCAACCTAAGCGGCAATCTGAAGGATTATAAGGCGAGACAGTCGTCGCTGCAACCGCCCAAGGATCTCTACGTCTTTCGCTCTACGGCCGTTGTTGTGAAATTGTCCTTCGCTACCATGCCTTCTGTACGTTCCATGCCCACAGCATCCAACCCATGTTCCTTGCATCGTGAGCCGCGCTAACGTTCCTCTTAGTTCAGTCGCGTAGCCGCGCTGCTCCCCGCGCTCTTCTCATCCATCGCCTATGCCGTCCAGCCAGTCGAAATCCGTGGCCAGGACTTCATCAACACCGGCACGGACAAGCGGGTGATGATCATTGGTGTCGATTACCAACCCGGAGGCCAGGGAGCATACAATCCCACCAACAGCGAAGATCCCCTCACAGATGGCGACAAGTGTCTGCGAGATGCAACCCTCATGCAAAAGCTGGGTGTGAACACGATTCGTGTCTACAATCTCGACCCTACGCTTGACCACTCCAAGTGTGCCTCCATCTTCAACGCGGCCGGCATCTACATGATCCTTGATGTCAATTCGCCCTTACCCGGAGAGAGCATCAACCGCGCGGAACCATGGACATCCTACAACAGCGATTACCTTACTCGCGCGTTTGGCATCATTGAGAACTTCAAGGGTTTCCCCAACACCATGGCTTTCTTCTCTGCGAACGAGGTCATGAATGATCTGAGCACTGCCGAGTTCAACCCCCAGTACATCCGGGTACGTTCGATTGTCCTAGCCAATGATTCACGATAAGATAAACTGACAAGCACACAGGCTGTTCAGCGTGACATGAAGAACTACATCAAGAACCATTCCGACCGCACCATCCCAGTCGGCTATTCTGCTGCAGATGTCCGCGAGATCTTGCATGATACCTGGGCTTACATGCAGTGTATCCACGACCAGGACGAGTCATCCTCCGACTTCTTTGGTCTCAACTCCTACAGCTGGTGCAATGGCGACAACTACCAGACTTCTACATACGATGGCCTGGCCACTATGTTCGCCGACTCTGCTGTCCCTGTCTTTTTCAGCGAGTACGGCTGCAACCGTGTCATGCCTCGTGACTTCGACGAAGTCCAGGCCCTTTACGGCGACCAGATGAGGGCGCTCTCTGGTGGTCTCGTCTATGAGTACTCCCATGAGGAAGCAAACTACGGCTTAGTCGAGATTGACCAAGACGGCTCTGTCGCACTCATGAAGGACTACGACAACCTCCAGAGCCAATTCAACAAGCTCGATCTTAGCGCCCTTGAGGCGACCAACCCCCAGTCCACCGAGCTCAAAGCCCCCGAATGCGACGGCAGCCTCATAACCGCGGAGCAATTTAGCAAAAACTTCACGATTCCAGCTGTCTGCCCTGGATGCCAGGATCTCATCGACAACGGTATCGAGAACCCAACAAATGGCGCGCTGGTGGATATCGGTGACACCAACGTCAAACAGAAGGTCACTGGTAGCAACGGCCAGCAAATCAACGACTTGTCGCTCAATGTTGTGTCCAACGATGGGTCTAACACTCCCGGCGGCGAAAACACGAGCCCTAGTGGCACCGACTCGGGCAACGGTGACGAGCCCAGTCAGACGGGAGACGCGGCGCAGCCTTCGGAGACTGAAGGAGCAGCTTCGCACGTCTCCTTCAACTTCGGACTAGCTATGATGGGCGTGTTCGTATATATGCTCACTTTGTAGTTCTATTGTCCGCGTTTTACAGAGCGACCAAGCTTTTGGTTCAGCCTACTATGCATAATAGTTGCGACATTCTGGAGGACGAGGAGAGATGAATTGGACATGCGTACGAACTAATGAAGTCAAATCGGAAGACGAACTAATGGCGTTGCTATTCTTGTACATAGTTGGGACGTGTATACCCTTATCGTTTTGAGACGCAACTGTTTCCGGCGTCTACACGCAATATTACTTCCTTACACACGAGAGTGTTTCTCCCCGCCTTCACTTTGATATGCTTTGTTTGAGTATGTAGGCTGACTTTGTCTTGCTGCATGATTCACGGCTAGTAAAACCCAGACTATGTATGGGTTACTTCAAAGCTTGGTAAGCCCACGTATAGACCAAATTTGGTCGCTCGATTAGCCCTTGTGACAGCAATGATCATGGTCAGGACTGTTGATTTCATGTGTTTATTAATCAATGGTACTTTTCCGTAGTCTGTAGGCGGTGGCCATACACTATATACTGCATAGCCTGCATCGCATCATGATGCTGAGCCCGTATGCTGCGCATCTCTCATAGCCTCATATCAAAAGAAAAGACATCCCACAACCAGGTCTAGATGCTCAGACCCATAGCCTCCTTCATCAGCTCCTCCTTCGCTTTGAGCACCACTTCATCCTGTTCGCCCTCGCCCTCTCCCTCGTGGACGCAATCACACTTATACTTCTTCCTGAACTCGTAAGGCGGAAGCCCATCCAGTTTCTCCAACGCTCCATGACTGGCCCTCACACGCGCATATCTGCCGCTCTGGCCCAGGGAATGGAACCATACCTTTCCATGGATCATGACCATAGCCACGACAGCCTTGCCTTTGCCGGGGATGAGCGTCTCTGTCTCCATGGCACCCATCCGCCACTCGCTGCAGCCGAAGGTGATACCGAGGAGGCGACTGAGACGGGTGGTAGGGTGATTGGAGGCGAAGTTCTCGTACGAGTCGAGAGTCATGTTCTCAAAGAAGGGCTTGAGATGCCTGTCGAAGAAGTCCTGTACGACGCTGAAGTCGAACTCTGCATCAACGAAGATGGCGGCTGTGTATGCTTCGATCACGTCGGCCAAGCATTTTGGTGGTTCGCTGATGGTGACCCAATAGTCAACGGCGCCATCCGCTTCTCGCTCTGCTTCTTCGGCCTCCAAGACGTAGTCGCGAATTTGCGAGCTCAGAATAGCAGTGTTCTGCTTGATGTGAACATGCCAGCCGAGCTTTACGCACACAGCGCCTAGGAATTTGTTGGACACCATGGGAGTCTTGTGTTCCGTGAGCCACTGAGGGTCCTTGTCTGGGTACTTGTAGTAGAGGTGCATGATGAACGCCATATCGAGAAGAGAGTCACCTGCAGGAATGAAAACATTAGCTCAGCTCAATTGCATGCAAAAAATCTGCAGGAAGACTTACCCAAGAACTCGAGTCGCTGATAGTTGGGTATATTCTCATACATGTACGGGTATGAGGGGTGGGCGAAAGCCGATCGAAGAAGACGTGGGTACTTGAAGTGATATGGGTGCACCAGCTCAATGTTGAAAGCGGTATTGACCATCGCTGCGGTGGCGTCGGCAACTTGGTACTTGGGCTTTTGATAAGCGTCGTAGTAGTCTGACCACCTCGACATCATATGATCTTGACTGTTGGCGAAAAGCTTGACAGCTTTAACAGTTTCGTCCCAGTCTTCGGGGTTCCATCGCCCGCCCCGGTAGTGCTGCTGGAAAGCAGCACCGATGAAGGCCTCACAGACGTCCGCGATGCTCTTGTCGCCAAGATTATGCGTGAGCTTCAGCCAGTCGTCTTCAGTCTTCTTCAAACCCTTACCCCTCATGAGCTTCACCCCTTCAGGATACCATGTGCGCCTATGCAAATTAGATCGTGTATAGCAATGAGTAAATATACTGTACATACCTTGAGAAGGCTTCCGTGCGAATGAAGCGGTACAGCTGAATATCGCGTTCAGTTCCATCTGCGGAGACCACCAGCTTCTTTCCCACTGCAGTCTCCATCAGGTTCTTGTTGCAGAGCATTTCCATGCGGCGGACGTGGAACTCGAATTCGTTTTCATCTGGCTGCTGGACAAAGACCGAAAGTGAGGTAGCCATCTTCAGGAAGCAATCCCCTAGGAATTCAAGACTGTACCGTATTAGCAGGTGAAATCTTGAATTATCCCAGTACCTACCGTTCATAGTTTGGACCCATTCCGCTCTTGAAGTTGATCTTTTCTTCGCCGTGCTCCTCGGAGTTGTCGGAGTCTTTAGTAAGAGCTTCCAAAGCGAGCGCGGGGCTGACGTTGAGACCGAGAACTTTGCAGGCGTCCAGAGCAATGAGATAACTCTCAAAGCGATGAATGAGAGCCGGTAATACGTAGCACATGACCACAAATCGTATCGAAAGCTGTGCTGTTAGCGATGTTTTCATACGCACAAGCCGACGGGATTCTTACATTAGAGACGTGAAGAGGCTCTGGACAGATGTAAGTCTTCAAGTCATCGAACTCACCCTTCTCTTTATCCTCGACGCATGCAAGATGGTTCCGGCGGAAAGGAATCTTTTCCACCTCAAGAACGGGCTGCGAGGCGTGCCACTTTGATATGTCTCTACTCTTTGCCCACCGGCTGTCGCTGTAGTCCAGAATAGTGGCCATGAACTTTTGTCCACTGCGAGGTAGACCTTTAGGAGGCGGATCTTGTGGCTTGAGATGGGTTGCGAGGTCGTTGGAGTAGTAGCGTCGACCTCCATTCATTGGATCTACAAAGTAACGATCTAGCAAATCCTCAGATTTGGTCTCGAGTGTCCACTTCCAAGTGGGCTCTTTGCAGACTTTGCGGATTTGCTCCATGTCTAGGATTTGATCGAGAGAGGTAACAGACGAAACAGTAGACACCTGGCTCGGAGTTACTGGAACAACCCAATAAGATATCTTCTGGACGTCTTCCTCGTACACCTTGTTGTAGATATCCTCGTATATGCGTAGAGTAAAGATCGTGAGAGCTTTTATCGTCTCGGGCGATACAGGTAGCGGAGTCGAGACGGATTTGGATACGACATTGGAGGGCCTTCCATCCGTGAGGTAGATAGGAAAATGCGGCATCTGCGGGAATGGAATGCGAGTGAGGAGACCCATAGGCTGATGAGGTCGGTCTAAGCCAGCGTCAAGGTCGATGACGGTCAGGTATAGAAGCGTAGGAACGACTCCGCGATCCACCTTCCAGAAATTTGGCTTGATCAACATAGAGTACATACCCTTCTTCTTTTCGCTAAGCGCTAGCAGTGCATTTCTCCCAGCTGGCAAGCTTTTGCATGTTGTTGGGAGGAGGTTGTCATCCATATAGCCTTTCGTGTGAAGCATGAGGCATGCCTTGTAAGCGGCAGAGCATTTTGCGATAGTTTTCCTGCTTTGAACGTCGCCAGTTACCGAGACTACCGGTGCATGTTCCGGCAACATTACCTCGCAAACAAACCCTCGCCGCTGAGAATCCTGAGCATCATAGTTGACCTCGGGATTGATAACATAGGTTGGCTGGAGCATGGTCTGTCTGTCGGGGCCGGGTAGCGTCGCTACGAAGTGATTGAGGATTGATAAGCTCGAGCGATATGTGAGCTTTGCACCAGACTTTGTAACGAAGCTTGGATACATCTTGTCTTCGAACGACAACATGTCAACCTCGCCTCCGCCGATCTGACGGTCTTGGGGAAGAGCTTTGCAGAACTTCCTCATGATGCCTTCCTCGAACTTGACGTCGAAAACCCGGCTGCGATGGTCATCGTTGCCCTGCTCAATCATATGGAGATACTTCGAGTTCCTATGCCGTGCTCGGCCCCGAGACTGTACGTACGCTATCATGGTGCGATAGAGGTCGAACCGCACGACAAGGTTGCATTGAGGGATATCAAGGCCTTCTTCCGCCACAGATGTAGCAAACAGACAGTTGAGTTCGCCGCGACGAAACTTGGCGACCGTAAGGATTTGGTTCCGCAAAGAGATGTTGTGCTCTCCAGCACGATTGTTGACACCGACGAGCACGTTACAGCGGAGGTTCGGTCCACCGATCTGGGAAAAGATGAGTTGAAGCAACCGAGCTGTTTGCCGTTGCTCAACGAAGACGATACAACGTGCTTCATCGCCGCGTTCGTAGTATAGCTGGAGCCAGTGGTGAAGTTTCAGAACTTTGGAACTTAAATCTTTGTCGCTCAAGGTACACAAACCGAAATCGAACTGTTGTACGAATGTGGCCGCTTCCTGTAAGCGCTTGGACTGGGCGTCCCACTCCTGCGCGGCGTCATCTCGCTTAGCCTTGTTATGCTTCAGGTGCTCGCGATCTTCGAGCTTGCGGCTCTGCTCGTCAGCGAAAGCAAAAGACCAATACATGTCAGACGCCCAGCGTCCGAGCTCGGAACCGTAGCGCTTGGAGGCCAAGAACAGTTTCTTGAATGCCGGTATGTCCCCATACTTTGCTTTTATCTCTTGGTGCAGAGGCGTCTCAAATTGGTCTTGTAGCCGTGCATACACTGCGATCTCCTCGGTAGGCCTGCTGATACTGTTCGAAGCGAGAGCACCCTCCGAAGTAGTGACGATCTTGGAATGAAGTAGTTTCTCGAGGTCGTTGGCAACTTCTTTGATATGATCGACCGACAGTCCCTTTGTGTCAATCGGAGAAGCTGTCATGCCAAAGATCCGAGGTCGATGGGAGGGGTCCAGTCCGTGTACGTAGTAGTCCTTCATCAAGCGAGCGTAAGGATGGTTGTTCTTGGCATGATGAGCCTCGTCGAAGATGAGGAGGTTGATCTGAGCCATGGTAATGAAGGAGTGCATCATACACTGAACAAGGACCTCGGCTGTACATACAATTACCATGTTCTTCTCGTAATGGCTCTGCCAAGTCGCTTTAGACCAAAGCGATGCGCCCATGGCGCCGCATATGCCCTCCACTTTCTGATCAAGGCCGCAACGCAAGACATTTGCTTGTTGGAAGACCAGGTTGACCGAGTCGACTAGAAAGAAGGCGATCTTGTGGATGCCGCCTGCGGCCCGGCGTTCGAGCTCGTCATTGAGAACATGCTGTAGAAGTAGAGTTGCGATGTGAGTCTTGCCGGAGCCAGTGTCTAAGACCGCTATTACGTTCTCACTCTTGGCCCTCTGAAACAGTTCAGTCTGATAGTCGCGAGGGTTCGTGATGCGGACTGTGCCCTCTTGTCTGGCGAGTATGTCGCGGATCGACAGCTGCTCTTCGTTGGCGGTCTTTGCAGCAGCATCGTCAACTTCCTTCTGTGTCAAGTGAGAGCTGATGTTAGCAGCAAAGGCCTTCAGGACGTCATTCTGCGCTCTGCGCCTCTCCGATGTGGTCTTCGGCCCATGCGTACGTGCGGTGTCATCATCGCCATCTGGGTCTTCATCTGAGCCCCGCTGGCTCTCATCTTTGGTAGCGGTCTCTGCAATGTCAGAATCGGAAGATGAGGATGACTCGTCGAAGGAGTGGTAGTGTTCGTCCTTCTCGTATATTATCCAACTCATGTTTATCGTGGCGCAATGCTGTGGGTGCAGTCGAAGCTTATCACAGGTCTGGAGAGGTAAAGCCTATGGTGAGTGTGATTGAAAATCGAGGGCAAGAGCGCGTTGCTGGTATTTGTGCAACTGTCGCGCGTCTTGCTTCGGGCAAGAGAGCAAACAAACAGTGTAGGTACCCGACGCCGCATGCTCAGCCGAAGCCGCTCGTGCTGACCCAATCAAACAGCCGCAGCCGTTTGAACATGCCGGAGATATTTCGCAGCAGCATACCAGGCGTTTGTCACCGTGGTGTTACCGCTTTCACAGACGCGGTGTGTTGGCGGCGATAGCGGGGTACGCGAACTGGGAAGGGGCAATGCTGACTCATCAGCATCTGCTCACGCTCTCACGTGTGTCCCCACTGCCATTTCCTCAACATCACGACAATTTTCCGCTCAAACGCCACTACCATGACGAACGAGCCGCAGAGTCTACGGGGTCTATTCTCAAAGGCGGAGAGAGCGCGCGAAGAGCTCTCTTCGTCGTACGAAGCAAACAGTCCGACCTACCAGGAAAACCTTAGCGCGACAATCGCCACGTACGAAGAATGCCTGAAAATATCCGAGCAGGTGTCGCTTTTCAGTCCAAATGAGACCCTGGAAGACATATCGTCGTCTGATCTACAGTACGTGTTATGCTACAACCGCAAGATACCGTGCACGTGGGCCCTCGCTTACCCTTCTAGATACATGGCGATAAACTACCACTTGGCAGAACTCGTACAGAAGATCTTCAACACCGACGTAGCCTTACGGAAGCAGAACCTACTGCGGGCACGGGGACACTATGAGCGATTTCTCAAGCTCTTAGATTCCTATGATGTGCTTGGCAAGGCAGATGCGAAACTCTTCGAAGTCTACGCGGAAGATAAGAACAACTTCTCTACCGCCAACACGCGGGATGCCGCGGCGAGACGGGACGCAAAGATTTCGCGATTCAGGGAGGAGAAGGAATTGAAGCGGAAACTAGAGGTATGTGTCCACACTAACTTTGCTTTCAAGGGTCGAACCTAGAGCTAAGGCCTGCAACAACAGTATCTGCGACAGAATCCCAAACTTGCCGAGCAGGATGAGCAAGTGGTACGAGAGTTGCATTTGACCAACTTGGCGTTCATGGTGCATCAGACTTTCGCTTCGTTGGAGTCAATGGCTCAAGAACTGCACATCATCTCGCTAGCCCCACCCGCGCCCCCACAAGGACAGGAACAGCAAGCGCCAGACGGCCGACAGGACGGCAGAGATAAAGACGGATACTCCGAACGCCTCGATGGTCAGTATGGCGGCCTGAGATATTCCGGCCCCATCTTGAGCGGCGACGGCAAACCCATGCGGCCTTTTACGCTATTGGATAGCCGTCAGACCCTAAAGAAGAACGTTTTCCGTCCGGATCACAGCCTGCCAACTATGACGATTGACGAATATCTAGAGGAAGAGAAGCGCCGGGGTGGCATGATCGAGGGTGGAGGCCCGCAGTCTGAGATCCAGGCTGAACCGAACGAGGACGATCTTGTCGCCGCGGACGAAGAGACGATGAAGCAGCGAGCGTGGGATGAGTATGTAGAGGCGAACCCCAAAGGCTCGGGTAACACTTTGAACAGAGGTTGAGCGTGGTTTGAGCGGCAGATCAGATACCCAGCAAAACAAATGCACCACCAAGGGAAGACTTTACAACTTCTCGGCTGCTAACTCCGGCCACTTTGCCGTCACCAGCTCGTACAGTTCCTTGTTCAGCACTCCGTATCCCTTGACATTGAGATGCAGCCCGTCCGTAAACCAGCCCGCTGGGAACGTCTTTGCGCCCAATAAGCCGCATCCCGGTGGCACATCCTGATCGTACTCCCATCCTTCTTCTGCAATGACTGCGTCCACCATGTGCTGCCAGTAGTTGAGACCAACGACTCTGCCCGTCTCTTCGTACTCTTTCGCGATCTGCATAAGCCCATCTGCATACCTCTTCTTACTCATGTAAGTCTTGTACCTTGGTCCTTCCTTTCGTGACTCATTGATCTCCTGTATTTCTCTTGCAGACCTGCTTTCTCCAGTATCTACCACAGACCCATTGATGGGTGGGGGCGTGATCAGAACTATCTTTGTGTTCTCCATAGCCTGCTCCGTGAGGATGGTGTCGAGGAACTCCCGTATGTTCGCTGAAAAGGTGGGCCAGGGAACATACTCCTTCTCGCCGATGAAGCAGGCGTCGTTTGCACCGAGGAAGATGGTGAAGAGGAGGGTCGGTGCCGCCTCAGGGGCTGTTGCGCTGCTTATTATACGGGCAAAGTCTGCTTTCAGACGGGTTGACGTGTAGCTGCGTAGTTGGTGAGTGCGCCGACCGTCAACGTTAATTGGGGTTTGTACCCTGCTTTGCCTATCGTGCTTGTCAGCATCGGATCTGGGCTTTCAATGTTGTTCTTGCTGCTCAACGCGCTAGCATATCATGCCGTAGTACCTTCATTCACAACCCTTGCCTTCCCTAGGTACTTATTCTCAAGAAACCATCCAATCCCTTGCGTCTTCTCTTTGAAACTCCACTCGGTCATGGATGCGCCAAACAAGACAATCTTAGCCATGTTTGCAGCTCGTCTGATCACTCAGTTTGAAAAGGATAAACGAGAAAGCGTCTACGCAAAACGCGGAGTGAAAGATGGTGGGAGAAACTCATTCGCATTACCTTCGTTGACGATCCGTACCTTGTGCTGATACTGTTGCCTAAGAAACAACCCGAAGCCTTGCGTTTCCTCGCTAAAGCTCCATTGGGTGAGCGAGTCTCCGAAAAGCACAAAGTCTGGCATGTTGTTTGCGACAGATGAAAGCGATGCAGTGATTGGTCGTTCTTTTCGTTTCCAAAACGCTTTCTTGAACATTTCGTTGAATGTTGGGAGGCTCTGCTCCATCCCAAGTGCTGAGAGTGTTGGCGCGCGCAACCCGATGCGGCACAGTCAGGCGGCGCTAATGCACGTAGCACGTGTAGCTAGCACACCTTGAGGGCTGGCTGGCGTTGGGACGCGTCTTGTTCGCGTCAGTTCATCAATCGCGGTCCTGCATATGTTCGATGCACAGAGCTATATCACAGAACTCGAAATCATAAAACCACGACTTCTTACGGGAATTATGGATCTTCGCCACTGCCGAAGCGGTCACGATGACATCACATCTTCGTGCAACGATTGAATCCACAACACTCGTCATGCTTTACGGCATTTCCAACACGACTTTCTGGAGACCACTCAGCTTTACGAATCCACCTAATACACAATTGAACGCGCTGAACCAGTATATCACGCAGCATACGACCATCTACCAAACATGTTGTCTATCAGCCTCCGCCTCCGCGCGCTCCAGCGCCCTGTCGTATCTCAACTCCGCGCCTTCACCACTACACCCAGCTATGCAAAGCTGATGGACACGCCCAATCCTGCCTCCAACCTCCCAGACCCTTCTGAAAACTCCTCGGCCGCACCAAACGCCAAGATGCGTTCGGACACGCAAAACACCGACCAGCAATCGAGTGCGTCGCCTGACGAGCACAAGACCGGCGACGACCATCCGGCGAAGCAGCCAGATCACCAGGCGCAGCCTACTCGGACGACGGGAATTGGGGGCGAGACAAAGGTGCAGGGAGGGAAAGAGGGATTGGGCGAGAGGGGTGATAAGCAGTAGACTGGGAAGAGGAGACAGGATGGGATCTATGAGAAGGAAGGAACAGAAAGATCGATGTTGGAAGAAGGGCACCAGGTGGAAGAACGCGATATACGTCTGTTTCCGGTTTAGCCAAGCGATAGCTGACTTCTCCAATCTGACGTCTCCTCATGTCATAGTTCCAGTACCCGTCGTTCTGGCATTGTGCGTCACAACACGAGCGAGATGCACCGACAACAGAAGAACTTGCGTTACGACAGCTCACTCGTTCCACTTCTTCATGACCGAGGCTCATACTCGCCGACCTGTCCGGCCCTAAGACGTAGTTTGTAGTAATACAGCGGCTAGGTCGCCACTACCGCAACAGCTCAATAGGTGGATAAGAACATCCAAAAGAGGTGCCTGATAACCGATAGTACCTACAGTAGGTACTGGTGCTCGCCGAGGTAAAGTCGCATCATACACCCGTACTCGGACAATCGCTTAAGTGATGCCCACACTCCATGCATCACATCAACCCACAAGCATGCAAAAACGCGGCATTATGATCTGATTCCTGATCAATCCACCGGCCCCCATCGTGAAAGCGGACCGTAGTGCAGCGAGAATCGGGAGACCGAGGAGCAATAATGCCCAGCACTAGCAGCCGATTGGTTTGAAAAGCCCTCTCCATCCACACTTCATCCACAATTACGGCCCGTCGCGCAAAACACCGAGTAGAGATGCAGTGGACGCGTTATTCTAGAACAGAGGCCAACAGTCTCGATGATCTAAACACGGAAACTCTTAAAAACCGATACTGCCTTGCAGGTCCACAGCTGGTGGCCTTAATCGTCCTGTGGCGTTGCGGACATGCGCGGGACGGTCCTTGTCATTGTTTCGCATTCGCGTTATTATTACCACGGGAATTTCGGCGTACTTGCGCCCACTGCCATCTGAACTTTGAGACGGAAGGGAATTTTCAGCTCAACCATGGAGCCGCGATATATAGCTTCAAGAGTAGAAAAGACATCTTGCGCGAAAAGTACGTGTGTGTGGATACGGGTAAAGTGGAAAAGACGGCGGGGCTAAAACTACTACCATCAGTGTAACCATCCCTGCCAGGAGGCCTAGTTTTCATCTCGTGCCGTTTGCAGATCTGAACGGCGAGGCTGCCAGCAGCCACGGGCTGTGTAGTCGGTCGCCTTACGCAGGTTGCCGGTCGAAGGGCCTAACATCATTCGGCATTCGAGATTTATAAAGTCGACGGGAGCGGCTGCATTGTCGACCATCAACCACATCGCTGGCTTAACATTCGTGAACTACTCGAGTGTTTCTTCAGTATGCGCTTTGTTCCTACTTTTGTTGTTGGCCTTTTGGCCAGCGCTGTTGCTGGCCGCGTTGCACCGCGGGGGATGCTCATTGACAGGCCGATGTAAGTCTGCCCGCTCGTAAACATGAGCGTATACTGATGCTCCCATACAGTGTCGCCCATTACATGGTCGGTCAACTCGATCTCGATGAGGTTGTGCAGGATATTGAGGAAGCGAGGGAGCTTGGTCTGAACGGCTTCGCGCTCAACTTCGGTGAGTGATTTTCATCCACAAAACTTCAATCGAAACCCGGGCTAACAATGAACAGATCAGTTCGCGTCTTGGTCCAACCAGACTGTTAAATACATGTTCGATCACGCAGACTATATTGGCGGTTTCAGCCTTTTCTTTTCCATGGATCACCACCCAGGCTTATTGGGGAAACCTACGAACTACGCCCAGTACTTCAACGATCACAAGGGCCGTCCTTCCTATCTTCTAATGACGGACCCTTCCGATGGCAAGACCAAGCCTGTCCTATCGACATTTGGTGGCGAGACCATTTCCAACGACGATTGGAACAAGTTCAAAGGAAAGGTGGGCAACGTCCTCGTCGTCCCTGGCTTCTCTGAGATCTACAACCCTACCACGAACTTTTTCAATGACCGTGGCGCGATTGACGGTGTGTTCAATTGGAACTCATGGCCTGCGACAAACGAAGGCAAAGTCGCCGTATCCGACGCGACAGACCGTGTATTCAATGACGCCGCCAACAAAGCCAAGAAGCTGTTCATGATGGGCATCTCACCTTATCAATGGAAGCATTTGGACTGGAAGCAGAACTGGTACCGTCGCGGCGAAGACAACCTCGAGAACCGGTTCGGTCAGATCCTCAGTGTCCAGCCTGATATGGTGCAGCTTCAGACCTGGAACGATGCCGGCGAGGGCCATTACATGGGACACCTACACTCGACGCCACTGAACGAAAACACAACGAAGGTCATAACAGGGTACGACCATACTGGATACTGGCAGATTCTGAAACCGTTCATCGCTGCGTGGAAGCAAGGCGATCGTACAACAGCTAACATGTATCCCACGAATGGCAAGCCTGTCCAAGGCACTTTCTGGCACCACACTCTTACCGTCAATGGCAAGTGCACCAACGACGAGGTGCCGCCATCCGCAGACATCAAAAAGGCAGCTGAAGATGCCGTGTCTGGTGTCTTACTTGTCGCCAAAGGCCAGACGAATCTCATCGCTGTTGTCAACGTTGGCGGAAAGAAGCTGGACCAAACGCAGAAACTCAAGCCAGGATTTAACAAGTTCAAGTTCACCGGCCTGGAGACGTTGGTCCCAGGTAAGGTGCAGTTGGAGGTTTGGGATGGAAGCACCATGGTGGGAGGCGGGTATGGAAGTATTGAGGTGACGAAATCGAAGCCGCTTTGCAACTACCAGTTTCAGGTCGTTGCGGTGCCTTCATAGGTATTTCTTGAGTACAAGGGTAGGCTCTGTGCCGACGTAGCAGGCACGTAGATAGTAGGGACCACTTTCAGATAGTCAATACATAGGTGTCCGATCGAAACTTTCCGAAATGTACCTGCAGCGTGCTCACTGTGCCTCACGTTGAAACAAATGAGCTCATCTAGCGTTTCTCCATGCTGCATGTGCCTGCGTGCGCTCTTAGCCGGATAAGCGACGCCGTACAAAACGGTGTTGCAGATGTGTGATTGACGCATGTACGAGTACATAATGCTATATTGAAGCACTATGAATGAGACTATCTGAGGCGCAGTACTGTAGTATTGAGTCGAGATCCCATGTCGTCTGGGTCAACAATCCGGAAGAATTCAAGTGATCAATGTGCACGACGCGATTTTCGACTAGGTTTGCGGGTATGTCGTCTCAGTGCACAAGCTCATGTTATGATCGACCAGCGCAAGGGTTTGGCCAAGCCGTTGGGTCTGCGTGGCCCCTCTGGCGGCCTGCGGCCACGGGGGCGATCACGTTTGCGAACCCTGATTGCGCGGTATTACTATGAAGCCGATCGGAAGCAGAGCCGAGGGCGCTGGATTCGCTGACCTTGATAGAGAAGGTGCGATGGAAAATGTAATGAGCGGGATGGCGCGGATGAGCTACCATGAGGCCATTGGCGGAAGCACGACGGGATCCTTGCGATAAGAGAGAGTTACGGGGCAAGGCTGCACATCGCGGTATGGGTACGAGGCTACCATGTTGTCGGTATCGGTAATTGGCGATAGCCTGGATAGAGTCAGAAGCTTCGGCGCATCCCGCGTAGCTCCACGGCACGACTCGTCCAAAGTCTATTCTGTTGTGCTTCGAGTGGAAAGCGATCGACCTCAACTACTCCTGAACAGCGAAGAAACTAATCGGTTAGCGATTGGGTTGGAAAGAGTAAAGTATGCTGCAGTTGGACATGTGAAAGATTGAGGTAGAGTGCATGCAGGGCTGCCACATTTGGCATAGCTCTTGATCCGAGCCCTGATGCGCCGTGCCGGAATATTTCTGATATAGAGGTATGACCGGAGCGGAAGATAAGCTATGACTGACACATGTAATCATTGGGTGATTTTATGTGATGAGTACAAACACGAGTTGGAAGGGTTTCTCTCTGCCAC